GACAAAATTTTCACGCCCATTTTCATCCCAGATAAATTTGCCTGGTAATGGGGAAATGTTGCTATAAGTATTTTTAATGTCATGATTGAAGTTTGCAGTGAGAGACAAGGAGATAGGACAGTGGTCTGAAAGGTGGTTAAGTGGCCAAACTTTGAAATACTGTACATCTCTAAATATGGAACTACTAATTACTCCATAATCAACAAGACTACTCCCCCCATATTGGTGACTAGTAAATTTTCCCAAGGAGTCACCTGGAACTCTCCCATTCAAAATGAGACAGTTACTATTACGACATAACTCTACCATTGCTTTACCATAGCTGTTTATATGGTTGTCCATATTGTTCCTTTTATACACATCATCTATGGGAAAATGGTTTGGTAATGGTAAGTTATTATTACTATCATTACAAATGAAGTCCTTCAGCAAGCCACTCCTTGCATTCAGGTCACCCATTAACACAATATCTCCAACTTTGTTAAATTTATTATGACATGGGGACTGGGAGGGGGGGGGCTGATTCATACAACACTTAATATATGAATTCACTTAATAACAACATGGTGGACATATACCGATTCAATTCTGTTGCTGTCTCTTCCAATGTCATTGCTTATCACAACAATTCAAAATATTAATTGACTCTAATTGTCCAAGCCAAACATCTTTAGTGTTGTGTGTGAATGAAATGTTTTTCCTCAGTCACTTCTGCACTGATAGCTGCAATGGCTGGTGATCACAGTAACACAACATATTGGTAACATGAACATGGCTTGTGTATTTCAAAATTGCAGATTTATGTTTACTATATGTTTATTATAAATATCTCCTACATCAAATCTATTCCTATAATGTGGTACAGATTACTTGTAAAATGTGCATTATTAACAGTGGAGCTACATTTGTATATCAGTTGACAGGCTGGATACTCAGATGAATAAAATGTATCTTTTGACAAATGTTAGATATTTACTCAGGACAGTTTCCTACTATATGTATTCATTTATTTTAATTTAATTCTGAAATCTGACAGTACACTGTACAGTTAATTGGTTCATAGGACCACTTTTCTGACCTAATCCAAAATGACATCTATCAAATCAATGTAGTTGTTGTTAATCACATTGCACTATTTTCTTATTTAGGCGACTGAGAGCAGAAATACACCTCCTGCAAGCAGTACATCCATGGAAGCTGTATCAGCTAGCCACAATACAACATGGAACAATCCAATGGCAAAAGCAACCTCTATCACTAACAGCCATCATGAAGTAAGGAAGTTGGACAACTTATCTTCTTCAACTACTTCAAATACAAATACATTGGGAACTAGTTCTCCTAACTGGAATAGTCCTGGGATGTACAATACTCCTACAAATACAGCTAACCACACTGGCATCAAGTTGGATCCCAAACCACATTTAGTAAAGCAGCGATCTGTGACACAATTTTTCAAGAATCCAGAGCTGAATCAGTCACCTGTTGGACAACAACATGGGCCTCGTACAAGCCCTGTTGCAACACATGGGATCTCTGTTAGAACACCATCTACTGCAGACACTGCTGCATCAATGTTGACAACTGCTTGGGTTTCACCGGTGAATAATCAGCCAAACACACCAGTAACAAATCCATCTATGTCAAGTGTTGGGAAGCAAGAAATGAAGCACCCTCAGGAATGTAAACAAGCTTGTGAAGTAGAGCATGTTTCTAAAGAGCAAGGTATTTATAGAATCTGTATCAGGGTATAATTTAGTTTTTGGTCATTGAATTGTACCTTCATCCCAAAAATATTGATACATGTACATTACATATTCAAAATCATATCTCTAGTACACATTTGTCAATACAATCACTGCACTGCTTTTGTGTATGTTCATTAGAAACCACAGATACTGCATCTACCTCAATTAATATCTTCTTTGTTTACATGTCATCAGCGATAACGGAACCAATCGTCTATTTGTCAGATGTACTGAAGGATTTGTCATTTGATGATAGAAGAGTTGTCAGCATTAAGGTAAGACTACTATTATCTGTTAGACGGGTTTACCCCTTTACCCCTACCAAGCTTGAGAACCTCAAACTCAATGGAAGGACAAAACCACTGGCCTAGATTCATGAACTAATGCCTGTGACTTTGGGGTACCTTGGTTGATGCTGGTAGGGAACATTAATTTATTACTATAATGTCAATTTGGAAATCTATTCTAATGAATTGAAATAATATACCAATATTGTTGTCTTCCTGAAGAAATTCTGGTTGATCATCATTGATGTTTCATCATAATACATATTGACCACATATGTATACAATGTACTACTGATAGTGTGTAATGTAGTAATGCAAAAACTATGGCTTGCAATGTCTTAGTATTCAGCTAGAATTTTTCCAGAAGGACAAAATGCAATTATGAATGTATTATTTAAATCCATTAAAAAATTCTGATTTCACTGGTTTCACTAGTAGAGTGCTTTACTCTGGTATTACCTTGTAGGGATTTATTATGACCCTTCAGAGCGGCTTGCGATGTCATCCATCATGGTGTATTGAAGCTAAAATTAATGATGGCACAGCATCAATAGATGTGGATTTAACCCATATAGTACTTAATGAGCTTATTGGTTTCAATGCACAGGAAATGAAGGTATGTATCAATATGAATTTGGGTGACATGAATGCCTACTCATGAATGTCAATAATTTGTCAAAATATAATTATGTTGTAAAATTAGCCATTATAGGGATGAAGTGTTTGGTAAAGGCTGCCATTTTGTCAGTTTTTGAACCTTGTTTTGATAGATTCATATAGAACGCTAATGAGCTGATTCATAGTGGCTAATGTATTCCTTAGGTGTAAACTTGTATGATATTTTCCTACTGGCAGGTCTTGCATGTTATTTTAAATCTTCAAACTAATAATTTTGTTCTCATTAGAATCAAAAGTAGAATTGTAAAAAAAATGTTCTTATTCATAAAAATGTTAAATGTCAGGGTATGAACTTGGGTATTTCAAATTATGTATTGAATGAGGTATCTAAGGGTGCATAAATACGCCAGTTGCGAGTGGTGAGTTGTGAGTTGCAAGTAGCAAAATGTGTCAGTTGGGAGCGCTCGAAAGTGGCAATTGCTAGCGCTCAAAAGTGGCAGTTGCTAGTGGTGATTTGTATGTAGTTGAGTGTTAGCTACATCGGCATTGTGTGAAATAAAATTAAGTCCGATGTCCTAGCCACTTGTTTTCAAGTTACATGTGTTGAAATGTATCGAAATTCTGAATGTCTACAATGCTATTTGTGCGTGTGTGTGCTACGTACACTTAACCACTGTCCTTCATGTGTTGAGGAACGGTGACTAAACGTAGCAGTTGCGAGCAAGTCTGGCTGCTAGATCAATCGGAACTGTGTGAATAAGATTTAGAGTGGACTTGTCTGAGATTGTTTGTGGAAAAAACAAATCTTCACTCAAGATCATTGTACTCTCTTTTCCGTAATCGCCGTTTTTAACCGAGAAAAAATACAAAAATCACCGTAAACAGCATCATTTCGTTGGTTCATTCGAAATATCAATTTGACCTTTGTTTAAGTTTTATGTACAGCGGACGGTACAATGCTCTGATTTTAAGTAACAGTGATATTTGTTCTCACTAACAGTCTTATTTTGCGTTAAAGTGACTTTGGTTGAATGTAATTTTTAGGTCAGAAATGAATCATTGGAATGCAATTTTACGGCGGCCCTGTTACACATTCAGAACGTAGGTAGGTGTCATGTTGGGGAAAATATAACAGATAAAACTGATCCCATGCTAGTCCCTTGGTGTGGTAATGCATCCTGGTCTGAGGTTGCGAAACGACGAGACTGACGGCATTTGATCTTGGACCAGCATACACATTATTGATGAAGCCACTATATCGGTCTCTATTGTTTGTCAACAGTTGATGCCTTCACAAAAGATTAAAGTGGCAATCGGTTAAATGCTGAATAAAGCTAAACTTAACAGCACAACAATACGTGATGTGCTGTCAATCTCCGCCCGCGCTTCGCCAGCAAAATTTTGCATGAAGTGACTGACGACTCATTAAACTTTTAGAAATAAACATTAAACTCCAATTGTTGCAGTAAAAATAACACGAGGTGTTTTTGAATACAATTTATATACATGCATATTTATCACACATAATTTTGCTCTTGGGAGTGGACCTACCACAATGGGAAACAATCGTACCACATTGCGTTTTTTTGTTTTATGTATGCCCTTTTTGTAATGAAATACTTTGTTTTGCAGGGCTCGATTTGTACAATGTAGTATATGAACAAAGAATATTATTTTGACTCACTTGAAGTAAAATGTCAAAGAGCGACATAATCTAAACAACGACAGTGGATAACTTGATTACGCTTCATTGGGTTCAATATATATCTTTCGCCGGTCATTGTATTCAATCATGGTCCTACATATTTTTGTGACAACATTATTTTCTGTTAAGGAGTTAAGGAGTAGTTACCATACTCCATTGTATCCAGTTGATGATTATTCTCATTCAACAACTGAAGCCGCCCACGCCCTATTGTATTTCTGTCAACTTTTATTGTATTCTTTCACACTTATTAAACCTTTTCAAGTTTCCAATAAACCACTGAAAAAAACATGCATAATTTCTTTGATATTACTGTCATTCTACCGAAGACCCACTTCGACTTTGCAACATCGACACAAATCGCACATAACGCATTTTTTTATTATTCATTGTCTGTTTCTGTCCTATAGACATAGGCGCCACGACTTGGCGATCAGGTCATGGGACTGCTATCTATATTCTGTGAAGACATTCACATTGACCGCGCATGTACACACATTCAAGATGTGTATTATACACCTTTGTGAGACTCCATCCGTTTGCTGACTTCGCTGTAGTTAGTTTTTTTTCTTGTCGTCTCAAGATTGTTGCGAGTTTACAATTATCAAAACGCTTACATTGTTGGTTTAACCACCGTCCCTTAGCTCCATGGTTTAACCGGATGCGTGTCACACAAGTGCTTGATGAATGGGGAGACACAGGGATTTCACATCTAGAGTAAGCTTCACCTCCATTCCAACCGACCTGTGATTTAGACGAAACATATTGACTCAGTTCCAGTAGGAATTACAATTAATTTCCTCACTTCAATACTTGAAGATGCAATTCAGAATTTCCATGTAACAGCCGAAAACCTGAACACAGTCTCCTGACCGTGAATAAAGGCGATCGATTTATAGCATGTCGGGGCTATCGGCGATTTCAATGAATAGAGATTTAGAATGTCAATACATTTCAACACTCGCAACAAGAAAATATGCCGCTAAGACATCGGAGGCGAAGACTTATTTTTATTATTCACACAGTTCCGATTGATCACGCGGCCAGACTCGCTCGCAACTGCTACGTTTAGTGTACGTAGCACACACACGCACAAATAGCATCGTAGGTATTCAGAATTTTGATACATTTCAACACATGTAACTTGAAAACAAGTGGCTAGGACAGCGGACTTAATTTTATTTCACACAATACTGATGTAACTAGCACTCAACTACATACAAATCGCCACTAGAAACTGCTATTTTTGAGCGCTCGCTTGCCACTTTTGAGCGCTCGCAACTGACACATTTTGCTACTTGCGACTCACAACTCACCACTGGTGTATTTATGCACCCTTACATACCTCATTGAATGGTATCAATGCATTCATTTTGGGCATTGAGGCCTAGGAGTATGTAATACATGAGAAACATTGAGATAATCTTCTTAATTTATACAAGCAAGTCAGCTGACCATTCCAGTTTGTTATCTTCTATTTCTATCAATACTGTTAAATTCAAGCACGTATTGCTGGCAGGACTTTTACTGTAATGTTAGGCAAACATGGCAGAACATCCTAACTTGAATAGTGCATTTATTATCCAAATTGTAATTCATGTGTTACAATGTATGTTTACCAAACCAATCCTAATACTGTTCATCTGATTCTCACTAAGGCCAGGAAAAAAAAATTCTCTGTTTCTCGTTTCATGGAAATTTTAAAATGAGGCGGTGAGGCGTTTTTTTTTTTTTTAATACTGAGGTAAAATGGGGGAAATTTGAGACAAGTGCAAGTACAAGCGCATTTTGTAATGCTTTAAAAGGAAAAAAAACATTCGAGGCACATAGTTTAAAATGATGCGCACGGAAACGAGAAACAGAGATATTTTTTTCTCAGCCTAATACACTTTGTAATTGTTTATTTCAGAAAATAAAATTGCAGTCGAAACACAATAAAGAGATGAATCATAAAATTATGATGGTGAGTTTGATATTTCATGGATTTCCATGACAACTCTGTATACAATTATTGTAACAGCAATGTTTTTAGCAATATATTCAATTATTGTTTATGTATGAACGGAATTTATAATACACCAGACATCAGTCACACATATGCACTACATGTGTTCATTTGACCATTCAATTCAAGATGGCCAAATTGTGGTTGTTGTAATGTTAAACTTTTATCAAAATCAAGCAATTCTGCATAGACAGATTGTCTATGAATATTAATGACAAGTAATTTCATTTTGTTTTATTTTATATCCTACCGATTTGGTCAAATGGATTAAATGGTATATCATTGCTTTATAATCAATCAACATGAGCAATGCTGAAACAAAAATGTTAGTTGTTCAGTAAACATCAAAGAATATAATTGTTCATACAAGTACCTTTTTTAGCATTTTTAGTCCCCGTTCAGGCGCAGCCTGAAAAGGGGACTTATAATTCAGGTTTTGTCCTTTTTCCGTCTCCAACATTTTCTCAGAAATTCTACAGCAGGTATCAGTGAAACTTGGCAGGTTGAGGAACAAGTGTCTTCCGAGTATCCACGTAATTTTTTTTCCAGATCTGAAAATCCCAAGTGGGTCTTTTTCACGATTTTTATCAAAAATACCTCTCCCGGCAACATTGACAGAACGTCTGCGTATGCTCAGAATAAATTAATTACTGTAAAATACTTTATTTTTGCTTGCAACATTTTTTTGCTATTTTCGCTGAAGGAATGTTTCAGTTAAAATAAAATCCAGCGAATATTCCCTTTTTCCTATATTTTACAGTCAAACTTGTCAAAATCATGAAAATAAATTCATTACAAAACAGCCAGAAAAAGTCTTTTCAGCGAATGATATTCCAGCTGA